CCCTTCTTCAGAAATGGAGAAGAAGTTTTCTGAAGAAGGGTCTAGGCCCGAAATGTCAGCCTTCCTGCTCCTCTGATGCTGCTTGGCCTGCTGTGTTCATCCAGCTCTACACCTTGTTATCTCAGATTCTCCAGCATCTGTAGTTCCTACTATCTCTGGTATAGTATGTACAGGTTTGGATTTCTTATTTAAGAAAGGATGTAATTACATGAGAAACTGTTAAGGGAAGATTCACTCGATTAATTCCTGGGGTTGAGGTAGTAATCCTATGAGGATAGCTTGGACATTAGGCACTTCTACCTAATGGAATTTAGAAGAATGAAGGAGAACTTTAGAGATATAAGAAATATGTAGAAATATTTAAAAGTGTGATATCAAGAATCCAGGGACAGTATGTCCCTTTCAGAGTGAAGGGAAAAGCTGACAGGTTTCGGGATCTCTGGCTGATGAGGGATAATGAGGCTCTGGTCAGGAAAAAGAAGAAGACATACATTGGGTTTAAGCTATTGGGCTCAAGTGAATCTCTAGATGATTATGAAAAGTGTAGGAGCACACTTAAGAGGGAAATCAGAAGAGCAAAAGAGGGTATGTGATGGATCTGGCAGATAAGGTTAAAGATAATCCCAAGAGGTTCTATAGCTATATTAAGAGTAAAAGGGTGTCTAGGGAGAGAATAGGTCCCCTTAAAGATCAGCATGGCCTTCTATTTGTGGAGCCACAGGAGAGGGGGCAGATTTTTAATGAATATTTCTCCTCAGTGTTTACTGCAGAGAGAATCATGGATGCTAAGGAAATAAGGGAAACAAGTGGGGATGCCTTGGACCGCATACATATTACCAGAGAGGAGGTGTTTGCAGTCTTAGATCACATTAAGCTGGATAAATCCCTGGGCACGATCAAGTCCATCCTCAGACATTGTGGAGGCTGGGGAAGAAATTGCAGAGGCCCTTGCAGAGATTTTTGCTTCATCTTTAGCCACTGGTAAAGTTCCAGAAGACTGGAGGGGGGCTAATTTTGTTCCATTGTTTAAGAAAGGTAACAAAGACAAGCCAGGGAACTACACGCCAGTGAGCCTGACATCAGTGGTAGGATGGATGCTAAAAGGATGCTTCCCATTTTGAGAAATACCATGGAACAGAGTCTAAAAGAAAAAAAGAGGTCTCTCATTTAAGATTCGGAGATTTTTTTTCTCTCCGAGGGTTGTAAGTCAATCTAATTCTCTTTCCCCAGAGCATGGAGGCATGGTCATTAAATTATTTGTCAAAGAATTGAATCTAATTTTGTTTTTTTCCTTCTTGTGTCATCCTATCAGGCCGTGAATACCAGATCCCCAAGACACTCCACATGAAAACATTTTGCTCCTTTTTCCTTTGCATCATCTACCAATGACTTTAAATTTACTTCTCCTGGTACTGCCCTCCCTATAAAAGGAAATAGGTCATTCCTTTTCATTCAACCTTGGTTCTCTAGATCTCAATGAAATATCTATTCAGCCTCTCTTTTATAAGGAAACTAACTTTCCTAGCTGCCAATATGTTCCACTCTAATAACATCCTCGTAAATCATCTCTCGAGCAATCACATCCTTCCTGAACTGCAGTCACAACTATTATACGCAGTATTCTAGCTGTGAACTAACAAGTGTTTTATGCATTTTCAATATTACTCTAGTTGCTGTAGTATTCAAAAAATTAGGTATCCTATGTGCCTATTTTCATCACCTTCACTCCCTATCTTGCCACCATCTTGCAAGAGATGGATGAATATCAGAGACAGACTACTGAAATTGCAAAGCATTGAGTAACTGGAATTTTGCAGGGAGCAGAGATGGAATGAAATTGGTATAACATGAGTGTATTATACAAGCATTTTAAATGCAACAAGTGATTTCATATTTTTAACATTAATTCATAGTTTTACACTTATTTAACATTGATTTAATAAATGAGGGAAAAAAATGAAACAGCTTTTCAGGGCCATTCCAGTCCAAGGATAAAAATACTAATTGAAGCTATGGAATAAAGTGAATATTTTCTGCATCTTGCCTATGTTTCACACTGTATGTGCTACTTCAACCTGCAACAGCTCTAGGCTCCATTATTTTATGCAAAAAGAAAACTATTAATGCAAGCTGAACAGAACACAGCCCATAAATTTCAAGGTCATAACTCCCTTAGTGAAGACCATCCTCAACATTCCATGCACAAATGTGTGACAGATACATTGGAAAATGAAGGCATCCAAGACAGGGCCACCCTCCCCTAGATATCATACCCCTGATACACAGCATGCATAAAACAACACAAAAAAATCACTCATAATTACATGTAATCTGAGCTTTCTTCTCTTTTCTCTTTATTGCATTGTTAGTACTTACTGGACTAAACAGTCACCTGGGAAGTAAAATAATCAGGTTTTATTTGTTGTTTTGATTGAAACTAGAGATAATAACAGAAGCACTTTTTTGTGTGGTTTAACTTACCTTGACATTTGTTACCTTGCTCTTCATAGCCTTCTTTGCACATGCACTTCCCAATCGGGACCAACCATTCTCCATCAGCGCTGCAGTACATTTTTGGAGAGTCATCTTTCATGGAGTCATTGACACACGTGCCTTGCACTTCAACCAGTGAGGATGAATCAGCCCCTGTGATCGTGTCTTCAAAGAAAGCAAGGTTGTGGAATGTAGATGGGCACTTCTTGTAGTACACTCGTACAGAGACCAGAGCAATACAGGCACCAACATCTTGAAAGGCTAGATAGAATCCCTTTTTAGAAAGTGGGCCGACATCTCGCACTTCCGTGTTTAACTTCATGACTCGATCTCCAAGGTCAAGCTCTGTAAAACTTTCATCTGCTGCTATTGTATCAATTTTAATGTACTGGTTTTCTCTGATATTCCTCCCATCTTCATCATTGGATTCAAAATGATATACATTAAAAGTCTCTTTACAGGTTCCAAGACCTCCCGGAAGACTGTTGCAATCTCGTAGTGTAAATTTTAGCTCAATGAATATACGGCGGGCCCCCTCATTGGAGATCCAGTTAGTTTGCAGCCAGTTATTCTGATTTTGCTCCATTACATTACACACTTGGTATGTGTGTATTGGAGTGTAATTCTCATCAACCTCACTGATTTCTTCCCACTGTGAAAGTAAGCAGAAGTACAGCATTAAATACAACATTGTAAAGCAACATGTCAAAATGTTAATACACAGTATTTGTCATGCGATATTTTTGGGGAAATTACAGATTAGTCATTATTAAAATATCATAAGTTACAAAATTTGCAACAAAAATGCAGCATTACGATGATTTCTTTTGCTAACCAGGACTTTTTTTTGTTTCATTTCTGTATCTCACGGGCAATTCTTTAAATCTGTTTATCTTATCGGTGTTTTATTTCTCTTTTCTATGCACTTCTGCATCTTTCTTTTCTGCACTCTATACCCCTGTTCCTCTCTCTCTGTTTCTTCACTTCTTTCCCACTTTCATTCCACCTATTTCTCTTTCTGGGCTCCTCTCCCTTCCGTTCTCACTCTCTCCACTATTATTTCTATTTCTTTCCCTTTTCTCTTCTTTCCTTTCCATTTCTCACTTCCTTAATCTACTTTTTTTGTTGTTTTCTCTCTCTTCTACTTTGATTTCTTTATTTTTTTTTCTATTTTCCACTTCCACTTTCGTTTCTTCTGTCCTCTTTCAACTCTGCTTCTCACGTATCTCCCCTCCTGTTTCTTTTCAATTGTCCTCATTTCTGTACGTGCATGTCTCCCCCTCTCTGTTTTTCCTTCTTCCTTTTATCACATTCTTTGCATTATTGCTGTATTTCATTTCTGCATTTCTTTCATTCACTTCAATTTTATATTCTCCTGTTACTACTTTTCTAATTTTCCTGCCTTTCTGTCACTACTTTTCTTTCATCTCATTCATGTTTACTTTTCTCTGTCACACTTGCTTACTTCTGTAATAGTCACCATTTCAAGGGTTGCACAAAACAACGTTTCTGAGAGAACAGCGGAAACAGAAACAATGAACTGGGATGTAGAAACAAATCAAATAAAGGATAGGCAGTGAGAGGAGGAGCAAAAGGACTCTGGTAAGCACAAGGACAGGCACAGGATTGAGAGTAAACTTGGGGGTGAATTGTGACTTTGCATATGAGGCAGGCAGTGTCTGCGAACTCTCTGTTGCAACTGATGGGCACTTCAACCCATTGCAAAGAACCGTTGACTTAAGGATTCATTCACTCCACCCTGCCTGAATTGATACACACCTGAATTGGACTCATGCCCCTTTACCATTGAAATGGAAAGCTCCAAGCACCCAACAATATCCCTAGGCAGCTTGATGGAAAAGAGGCCTAAAGGATCAAACCTCTCTGGGAAAATAAAACAATGAAACTTTAGAAATGACAGTCTTGGTTCAAATTAAAGTTCCATTTTCAGGTATACAAGATGAACTCTGATCTGTTCACTAATTTCAAAATCTTATTGGAATTTTCCTTAACCTGCATAGTCAACAGCAGTCCTCAGGCAAGTCCTAACAGTCATCAACGAGTGGAGGAGATTGAGAAAGGCAAGAGTCGCAGCAATAATCAAGAAATACAGTGATGGCAATGAAAGGCGACTTAAGATTATGACATAATCTTGGAATAGAGACAACTCAGGCTGATGTCAGGTTGTGTTTTTAATGTGGCATTAGGAGACACTCTCATGCTCTTACTAGCTCCACAATCATGTTTTAACAATTATGCTAGTTTGGTGGCAACCTGAAGCAGTCCATTTTAAGGAATCTGGTATGTTGCATATTGACCTAGTTTACCTGAATGCAGCAGCAGCACTGCATATGGAAAACAAAAATTACGAAGGTGGTGTCAAACAGGCTTGGGCAAATAAGGAGCTTTGATATCTGTTTCAGGAATGGGCTTGGATGCATTGTTTTCCTATCTACACCAATGCAGTAGCCAGCAACATCCAACTTGTAATGAGACTGTGTATTGGGCATTTGTTTAGTGCCTGAGAGTGGAATTAACCCATTTGTTAAAACTACCTCATTACACATTATCAGATCCAATGACCCAACCAGGAGTAAGGCTATTTGGCATCCAATAAGGTGTAATGAGGCAATTAGACAAATGAACTCAGAATTAAAGATCCCCAATGAAACAGTAACAACAACACAGCAAAATTCAGCACTGAGTTTGAGAGTGGGAAACCTGGGTTGGAAACAACTGTCCTGAACTTAAATAAGAGTATTAACAAAGGAATGACAGCAAAATTGGCTGGAGTAGATTTGGAAAGGAGTTTAGCAGAAAATATGGCTGATGAACAAGAAAATAGGTTAAGAAAATAGTTCATGACTCTCAACAAAGAAGCATCCCCATGAGGAAGGATTCTAGGAAAGGGTTAACCATTTGGGATTACCAAGTAAGTTAAGGACAGTATCAAATTGAATGAAAAATATACGATGTGGCAAAGAATATTGCTAGACCAGAGGATTCGGAATGTTTTGAAAACTGACAAAAGATGACAAAAAGGGTAGAGGGAGAAAATGAACTTCAAAGGTAAACTGGTAAGCAATATAAAAATGGAAGAGCTTCTTTCAGAACAAAAAAGGAAAGGAGAGGCCAAAATGAACACAGGCTCCTTGGAGTTGGGATCACAGAATCCCTACAGTATGGAAGCAGGCCATTCAGTCCATTGAGTCCTCTGAAGAGCATCCCACCCAGACACATCCACCAACACTATCCCTTTAACCTTGCATTTCCCATGGCTAATCCACCTGGCGAGCACATCCCTGGAGACTATTGGCAATTTAGCATGGCCAATCCACCTAACCTGAAGAGGCTGGGGAAATAATAATGGAGAACAAAGAAATGGAAGTCGAGTTGAATAAATATTTTATATCAGTTTCATGGTAGAAGATCCTAATAGCATTCCAAAAATAAGAATACTAAATTGTCAAAGAACAAAGGGGGAGAAGAAATAAGTACATTTTTTTCTCTGATGACAGTTATTATACGAGGGAGATTGATGGGGATAAAGGGCGATAAATCCCCTGGACTTGATTGCATCCTAGGCTATCAAAGGAGGTAGCTACAGAGATAGTGGACACACTGATAGTAATCTTCCAAGAATCCTTAAAATCTGGAAAAGTCCCAAACAATTTTAAAGTATGTAATAGCAAGCGATTTAAAAATAAATAACACAATTAAGCAAAATCAGCATGGCTTTGTAAATTGGGAAGTATAACTGACAAATTTATTCAAAATCTTTGAGCATTTAACAAGCGGGACAGATAAAGAGGAACCAGTAGATGTAATATATTTGGATTTTCAGAAGGTTTTTGATTGGGTACCGCACATTAAGCTACTTAATAAAATGAGCCCATGGTGTTGGAAGTAATATATTCGCATGTATAGAGGATTGACTAACTAATAGAAGGCAGAGAATTGGGATAAGGGACATTTTCATGCGGAGTGCCACAGGGATCAGTGCTGTGGCTACAATTATTTACAAAATATATTCATTCTACAAGTGTGGGATATGCAACTTTGCAGATGACAAAAATAGGTGGGAAGGCAAGTGGCGAGGATGGCTCTAAGAATCTTCAGAGGAACAGAAATAGGTTAAGCAAGTGGGCAAAAACATGGCCATGAGAATATAATGTGGGAAAATGAGAGGTTAAGTTCTTTGGCAGGAGGAGCTGAATATCATTTAAATGAGGAAAGACTGCAGAAAGCTACAGCACCATAGGATTTGGGGGTCCTTGTACAAAATGACAAGAAGTTAGCATCCAAGTTCAGATAATAAGGAAGGCAATGGAATGCTTCTTTCAGAAGGAATAGAGTATTAAAATAAGGATTTCTTGCTAAAACAATACAAAGCACTGAGTTAGACCTCACCTGGAAAATTATGAAGTGTTTATCCAAGGAAACTTCTGCTGGCATAGGAGGCACTCTTGGAAGTTCACTACATTGATCCCAGTTATGAATGAATGGCCTTGTGAAGAGAGGATCAGTAGACTGGGCATTTACTTATTGGATTTTAGCAGAATGAGAGGTGACTTTATTGAAACATGCAGCGTGCTTAGGGGACTTGACAGCTTGGAAGATGAGGGGTTACTTCCCCTTGTGGAAGAGTCTAGAACAAGAGGGCATAATCTCAGAGTAAGGGGTTGCACAGTTAGGACAGAGTTCAGGTGGAATTTCGCATGTCAGCAAGTGTCCTTATTTACCCTAGAGGGCTATAAACACTGGGTCACAAAATCTATTCAAGGTAGACAGATTTTTCATGAGTGAAGGAATCAAGCGTTACGTGGAACGGGCAGGAAAGTGGAATTGAAAACGATCACATCAGGCATTGTGTGGCATAGCAGACTCAATGGGCTGAATAACCTACTTCTGTTCCTATGCCTTATGATATAAAGGTAACAAAAGCATAGTTGAGGCTTTCAGCAGCAGATGGGCTGAGACATAGATGGGGACCAGTGAAGTGATAGCAGTAGAAGCAACTGACTTTGATGATGGATAGGATGTAGGATTGGAAACAATGGTCTAATCAGATGTATTTTTAATGACGTCATCACTTGGTTTGATGGGTGCTGCTCCACTCCAGAAGCCTTCGTCATGCAGGAGAAAGCAGGTTGTTGATTGATAGCCCATCCAATCACTTTTAGCGGTGACTCCTTTCCCAACTGACGCACAGTGTCCGCAGTATGTACCTTCTGCATTATGCATTGCAACAACCTGCCCAGCTTCTCCAACAGAACCTTCCAAATCTGCATGCTCTATCAACCAGTAAGAGAAGGCAGCAGATGCATGAGAACACCATGACCTGCAAGTTCCCTTCCAGGTCACACACCATTCTGATTTGGAACTATATCACCATTCTTTCACAGTCACTGATTCAAAATCTTGGAACTCCCTTCCTTACTCCCTATATCCAATTTCATTTCAGTGGTTCAAAAGGCAGTCACTATCACCTTCTCAAGGGCAATAAATGTTGATCTCACTAGCAACACCACATCACATGAACAAATAAAAAATACTTTCTCCTTCTGAATTTGGGCTTTACTTGTCCAAATTCCAAAGAGGTAAGAACATATGTTAAATTATATAAACAAAACCACTATTTTCTTTTTAAAG